TTCTAGGCGTGCAGTGAGGATCCTGGAAAACAGTCTGAGGACTATGGAGCTAATCGTTATCGGTCTCCAATTTCCCAGATCCTTCAGTAGATCCTCACTCATAACCTTGGGTATCAGAACAGATGTATTTCTTTTCAGCTCTTTGGGGATGATGCCAGTAACCAATCAAGCATTGAAGAGGGCTGCCAGTGTCTTTCCCTCTGGATCAGCAACGATGATTGCTGCCTTTGTCACGCCATCTGGTCCTGGCACAGATGATGGTTTAATTGCACGAATGCCCGCCACAACCTCTTCCACCGTAATCAGGGATTCAAAGTGGTCATTGTTCGCTACCGTCAGAGACGTAAATTGGCCGAGGCCATTGAAAGGTATTATTTCCTCCCACTTGTTACGGTAGAAGTCATACACCTCCTTGATAGGAATCTGACACTCCTGTCGGTCTTTGCCATCAGGGACTAGAGAGGCCAACCGAGAGTGGTTTCTGAAGAACAGCTTCTGATGCTTCATGAAGTTGCCTCTCTTTTCTGCTCTCTTTTTCATCCAAGTCCTCGCAGGCATCGTCCTGGGCTTGATAACATCCTCTGTGGTTTTTGAACGGCCACCTCTGGTCCTAACCACTCGCATTAGTCGAAGCATTGACTTTGTTGCATTGTCAACTTGGACATCCTGCTGACCCTCACCCTGCAGCCATGTCTTCATCACCTCTATTGCAGGGCCTTCACGTTTATTGCTTGGCTTAAGCATAAGCAACTCAGTTGCTAGAACGAGTTTGGCCCTCGCACCCGACGTAATACCTGGCGGGGGTGAGACGGTCTCTTTCTTTTTGGTCAGGCATCGTCTCTTATCCGATATTTGCTTATTGGTCTTCGTAACCAGCTTTGTTGCAATAAGCATATTGATGTTCTTTTTCCCCTGGAACTGCACCTCTAGTTGGGCCAGCTGGGTCTCTTCCTCCAAAGACCAGCAGCTTAGATGTGCCCCTCTCCGCGAGGTATTTTTCGTCAAAGCTGTAATCCTTTCCTCATTTCGCGCTGATGGGTGTGCATGTCTCTTGTGCTGGGAAAGACCAGTAGCTGACCCAAAACGCAACTGGCAACATCCACAACCCCAAGTCAGGCTTTCATTCGGTAATTTCCTTCCCCCACATTTGGGGACATGACATGATATCGATCGGAAGTTTGAATTCGTCTTGTCGCATTTCGAGCACTTAAACACCAGAGGAATGTCTCTGTGCTTGATGATAAAGTGCTTCACCATTTCAGACACTTTGCCCAGATGTTCCTGGCAAATTTCACAGACAGTTTTCAGATTCGGTAGAATAACTGTGACAGATTCCTTCTTGGTGTCAACCGGGTACCTTTCAAGCACGGGTTCCTCTACCGACATATCAAGGATGGATTCATGAGTATTCTCGTCATCCTACATCTCCTCAGTCTCGAAAAGACTGCTGATTTGCTCGTAGTAATCACAATTGACCTCCTCTTCCTTATTCAAGGCAGAGTTGAGAAAGGTGATGGATGTTTTCCTGTTTCTGGTCAGCTTCGGTTCGGCACTTTCAGAAGTCCGGTAGACATCTTCATCCTCCGTCCCATGAAGCTCTTGTTTGTCTCGGTTTCGACCCAGACAGTGTCGCCATGAGCTCTCTGTGCCGCTTAGGTCAAGAATCGAGGGTCTCACTGTAATGGATGGGTCGCCAACCCGAGCGCCATCCATAGCACGTTGTTTAGCCAGGCCTCGTGCCAAATGGCTTGAGAACTTTTTTTTTCATCCATATTAGTTTTGGAGCCTCTAGTAATCCTGCACCCCGGCCTCGGTGCAGGATAGGAGATGGAATCAGTGCTATAACCTTGTTGGCCATCGTCTGGAAGGTTAATTCAAGACAATGTTTCCGGCGGGACCACGTGGAGGTCAAGGCCACATTGACTCTTGTTCCTTTCCCAAGGGAACGCACCTTAAGAGAGTCATAGTTACTCCCGCCGTTTACCCGCGCTTCATTGAATTTCTTCACTTTGACATTCAGAGCACTGGGCAGGAATCACATCGTGTCAACACCCGTTCGCGAGCCATCGCGATGCTTTGTTTTAATTAAACAGTCGGATTCCCCTGGTCCACACCAGTTCTAAGCCGGCTGCTAGACGCCGGCCGAGGCGATGCGCCAGCCCGACACCGCACGGGGTCCTGGCACCCCGGGGAGGGGCACCGGGGCCGCACGGCCGCAGCCAACGAACCGCCGCAGCTGAGGCACTGCGCAGGAAGGGCCCGGCACACGTCCAAACTCGTCCCCCAGCCGCCCGAGACGACGGCGGGAGCCTCACCCAGCCGCAGCGCGCGCCCAGACCCCGCTTCACGCCCCAGCCCGACCGACCCAGCCCTTAGAGCCAATCCTTGTCCCGAAGTTACGGATCCGGCTTGCCGACTACCCTTACCTACATTGCTCCAACATGCCAGAGGCTGTTCACCTTGGAGACCTGCTGCGGATATGGGTACGGCCCAAAGCGAGATTCAGAGCTCTCTCCCCCGGATTTTCAAGGGCCGACGAGGGCTCACCGGACGCCACAGGAGCCGCGGCGCTCTGCAGGGCGCAGGCCCCTATCTCGGGGCGAACCCATTCCAGGGCACACTGCCCTTCACCAAGAAAAAATAACTCTCCCCAGGGTCCCCGCCAGCATCTCCGGGCTCGTTTGCGTTACCGCACCAGGTGCCCCCCGCGAGGGTTTGCGTCCGTCTCTGCTCTGAGGGTTCGGGGATCTGGACCTGATCCCCTTTCGATCAGCTGAGGGCAACGGAGGCCTTCGCCCGTCCCTTCGGAACAGCGTTCGCCCATCCCTTAGGACCGACTGACCCATGTCCAAGTGCTGTTCACATGGAGCCCTTCTCCACTTCGGCCTTCAAAGTTCTCGTTTGAATATTTGCTACTACCACCAAGATCTGCACCTGCGGCGGCTCCACCCGGGCCCTCGCCCTAGGCTCTCCGCGCTCTCACGACCGGCGACGGCCGGGTATGGGCCCGACGCTCCAGCGCCATCCATTTTCAGGACTAGTTGATTCGGCATGTGAGTTGTTACACACTCCTTAGCGGATTCCGACTTCCATGGCCACCGCCCTGCTGTCTATATCGACCAACACCTTTTCTGGGGTCTGATGAGCGTCGTCGTGGGGCGCCTTAACCCGGCGCTCGGTTCATCCTGCAGCGCCAGTTCTGCTTACCAAAAGTGGCCCACTGGGCACTCGCATTCCATGCCCGGCTCCAAGCCAGCAAGTCGGCCGTCTTACCCATTTAAAGTTTGAGAATAGGTTGAGATCGTTTCGGCCCCAAGACCTCTAATCATTCGCTTTACTGAATAAAACTGCACCTGCCGAGCGCCAGCTATCCTGAGGGAAACTTCGGAGGGAACCAGCTACTAGATGGTTCGATTAGTCTTTCGCCCCTATACCCAGGTCGGACGATCAATTTGCACGTCAGAACAGCTACAGGCCTCCACCAGAGTATCCTCTGGCCTCGCCCTGCCCAGGCATAGTTCACCATCTTTCAGGTCCCAACACATACGCTCTCGTTCCACCTCCCCAACGCAGCGGGCGAGGCGGGCCGGCGGTGCACCGCCCGCTCCAAGGCACGGGCGGATCCCACCTCGGCCGGCGACAAATCCGGCCTTCACCTTCATTGCGCCGCGGGGTTTCGACGCTCCCCTGGACTCGCACACGTGTTAGACTCCTTGGTCCATGATTCAAGACGGGTCGGGTGGGTGGCCGACCCTCACCGCGGACCCCGGGCGCCCGCAGTCGGTGGCACACCCGCAGCCGAGCGCCGAGCCGTGGTCGGTGACGCACTAGGAACAGTCCGCACCGGTCTACGGACCCGGCGGGGAGCGGGGCACCCCAGCCCCACCACTGCGGCAGGGGACGCGTTTCCACTTACCCCACCAAAGAGCGGAGCGGGCGCGGTGGCGGTTTCTCTCCCTCGGTCACAGGGCGGACAAACACCATCCCACCAGGGGCCGGTCGGAGGCACAAAACCTCCGGCCCGCAGACCCCACGGCGATCCTGGCCGCCCCAAAAACCGGTCGCGGCGCACCACCAGCACGGAAGAAGTGTGCCGGGCGCCGGCCGGCTCCACCGAGCACCGCGGTCCACTAGGCGCACACGCCCGCCACGAGCGGCAGGGAGCATGGCCACGGTGAATCCGTTCATACGGCACCAGTGGCCGGCCCTTGAGCGCCACGGTGGAATCCTCCGGGCAGACTGCACGGACCCCACCCGTTTACCTCTCGACGGTTTCACATCCTCTTGAACTCTCTCTTCAGAGTTATTTTCAACTTTCCCTCACGGTACTTGTCGTCTATCGGTCTCATGCCCGTATTTAGCCTTAGATGGAGTTTACCACCCGCTTTGGGCTGCATTCACAAACAACCCGACTCCAGGGAAAAGCTCGACCCGGCACGCCGGGGGCCACCACCGGCCTGACACCGTCCTCGGGAGGAGGCCTCAATCAGAAGGACTTGGGCCCCCGAGCAGCACCGAGCAGGTGCTCTCCCATACGCCACAACTCCCGCGCCCACCGCAGCAGCCGGGGATTCGGCGATGGGCTCTTCCCTGTTCACTCGCCGTTACTGGGGGAATCCTGGCTAGTTTCTTTTCCTCCGCTTAGTAATATGCTTAAATTCAGCGGGTCACCACGTCTGATCTGAGGTCGCACTGCGACGCGCGAGTCGCGGGGGCTCACGCGACACGGAGAGCACCCGAGGGCCGGCCCACACACACAAGAGCCACGGGGCTCGGCGCAAACGCACAGCATCGCGAGCACGCGCGAGGGGCTAAACAGACGCGCCCATCGGCTTCATTATCCTGCTGCACACTGTGAAGCACGGCAGGTGCGGCGCAACCCGCCGCCGTGCATCGGTGCGCTGTCTCTCCCCTTCGGGGAACGAAGCGCACAAGAGACGCTGCGACACCCCAGTAGCGCACCACCCACCTTTTGGGCAGGAGGACGATTGATAAACGGGCGATCCTCAAACAGGCGTGGCCCTGGGAAGGAACTGCCGGGGCCACAATGTGCGTTCGAAGTATCGATGATCAATGTGTCCTGCAATTCACATTACTTCTCGCAGCTGGCTGCGTTCTTCATCGACACACGAGCCGAGTGATCCACCGCCAAGAGTC